TAGAAGTTGGACAGTTGTGATGAATTATAGGAATAAGACTACTGACGTAATCAGACGGACGCTCCCTCAAACAGTGTGATCTGGTCTTTCCTGGGTACGATTACATTTTCTATCGAACGCAGAAAAACGAGAGATCAGATTAGGAAACGGCCTGACGCATGATTTCGATCCGAATCCATCGTAAAAACGGGAGTTCATAATTTCTTTCTGGACATCAGCCAGTGTTTACCGGCCTCTGCAGCAGTTCTGACCCATCAGCCGCACAGCACGGGTTGAGTGTTACACTCAGTGGCCACAGGTCGCGGGTTCGAATCTCGGTAGTCCGCCGCCCCTGGGACTGTGTATGACTGGCTGATGACGGCTAATAAGCCAGAAATGGCCATTGCCTTTGTCGGTTCCTATCCTACAAGTCACTGTACGAGTGTCTGTGGGGGTTCTGTAGTAAACTCCGGGGCACAACGGAACCTAAAATGTTCCTTAACCAGATTGGCGGCTCACTATCATCATACAGCACTCTTTCCAATGAGCTATATTGACAGATGTTCAAAGCACCATCCCTTCGATTTTGCTCGAATCAGGTTTTAAAGTGGTCACTCAAAATGTTATGTGTTGTTAAAACTGCTCCTTTTGACTGTGACATACTAGCCACCTTTACGAGGTATTCAGTAACTTACTGCAGTTACTTCAGTAACTTAGTGCATCACATCAATAAGGGGAGACATTCAGGGCGTCTTGCTCGCACAAGCCTTATTGTGTGATCTTGTCTTCCAGTGATAACTACAGAACATAGTATGCTTAAAGTCGAGGTTATTGTTTAGGACATGCTTCTAGTCGTATCTGCATTCAACAATGTGTCCGAAGTTCATCTTTGTAGTTGACTTAACTTGCGGCTTCTTGCATTTCTTTAGACGAAAAAACTCCACTCCAGTGACGTCGAATGAAAATTTGGGCACCCAGTTGATCACCAGGGCAGATCTAGAGGCCTTCAAACGAGAAATTCTTGCCGAATTTCGAAAAGAAGTAAAAACTCTGAAGAGCGAGATTTTGGATGGTAAGTTTACGCAAAAAGCACTACTTTCCCTACTTTCAAGGCCCCCTCGAAACCTTCGGGGCAAATTTTATACCGATCCAATATCTGTCCTTTTGAATTTCTGTTCTTTCCTGCCGGGGACCCAACACGCGTGTAGCAACCCACCAGATATTCGGTCAGTCACTGTTGTCGATAAGAGTCAGGCTCAGTGGACCCTTTATGGCCTTTATGGCGCTCCCAGTCGAGAGCCTACCTAGCGGGACGCGCAGTTGGTACGCGTGTTGAGTGCTGATCGCGCCAGCCGTCCCCGCACCCCCACTGAGTATACTTTAAATATAATCTAGCGGGAGTCACTGCATTGCTTCAACTCGTTGAAGCTCGTGGTGGACATTGTCGAGATCTACGGTCGGACTGTAGGCAGGCAGGCAGGCAAGTAGCCCTTGTTGGATCCAGAACCCCGCCGGGTGGGCCTCAATCCCGGCGGCG